CTAGGTATCATAGGCACTTACACATGTTTAGGAAGTCCAATGCCCAACGCCTACCCCCGAGACGCCGCTACGACTTTCGTGTCGAACTGATACCGGGAGCTCAACCGCAGGCTAGCAGGATAATTCCATTATCACCAGCCAAGGACGCTGCTTTGGAGGAATTGGTGAATTCAGGCTTAGCCAACGGGACTATCCGTCGAACCACTTCGCCATGGGCTGCCCCTGTGTTATTCACAGGGAAGAAGGACGGCAATCTGCGCCCTTGTTTTGATTACCGTAAGCTCAACGCCCTAACCGTCAAGAACAAATACCCACTACCGTTGACTATGGACTTAGTCGACAGTTTGCTGGATGCCGAAGACTTTACCAAGCTTGATATGCGCAATGCGTACGGTAATCTTCGAGTAGCAGAGGGTGATGAGGATAAACTGGCCTTTATATGCAAACAAGGCCAGTTTGCACCTCTGACTATGCCTTTTGGGCCAACAGGCGCCCCTGGTTATTTCCAATACTTTATTCAAGATATCTTATTGGGACGTATAGGTAAAGACACCGCGGCCTTCTTGGATGACATTATGATTTATACAAAGCCTAAAGTAGATCACGAAGGCGCTGTTGATGGCGTACTCGACGTCCTATCCAAGCATACACTCTGGCTGAAACCCGAAAAATGCGAGTTCTCGAAGAAGGAAATTGAATACCTTGGCCTTATTATCTCTAAGAATAAAATCAGAATGGACCCGACGAAAGTGAAAGCCGTCAAAGAATGGCCAGCACCCCAATCAGTATCTGAACTCCAACGCTTCATTGGATTCGCCAATTTTTACCGACGTTTCATCGACCAATTTTCAAGAACCACAAGACCACTTCATAATCTGACCAAGCTCAACGCGCACTATGTCTGGGATGAAAAATGCGAAAAAGCCTTTGAGAGCCTGAAGACCTCCTTCACCACCGCACCCGTACTGAAGATAGCCGATCCATACAAGCCGTTTACTCTGGAATGTGACTGCTCCGATTTTGCATTAGGAGCAGTGCTATCACAATGCAGCGAGGACGATGGAGAACTCCACCCAGTAGCTTACCTGTCCAGATCACTAGTCCAAGCTGAAAGGAACTATGAGATCTTTGATAAGGAACTACTGGCGATTGTCGCGTCTTTCAAAGAGTGGCGCCACTACCTGGAGGGAAACCCCAACCGCCTAGATGTGATAGTCTACACGGACCATCGTAACCTGGAGTCTTTCATGACAACCAAGCAGCTTACCCGCAGACAGGCTCGATGGGCGGAGACACTGGGCTGTTTCGATTTCGTGATTAAATTCCGACCCGGCAGTAAAGCTACCAAACCAGATGCCTTATCTAGAAGACCGGACCTGGCGCCTACTAACGAGGAAAAATTGACCTTTGGCCAGTTGTTAAGACCCGAAAACATCGGCCCAGACACGTTCCCGGTCGAGCTTGCTAGCGTAGAGGGGTTCTTCGAAGATGAAGTGGTTGCACTCGACAATTCTGAGCACTGGTTTGAGGTGGATGTATTGGGCATCGCTGAAACTGACACTAAGGCACCGGACATTCCTACGGATGATCAAATTATACAACGAATCAGAGACGCAAGCAAAGAGTGTGACAGGATAGGGGAACTGATGAACGCAACCTTGAACCCGATATCAGCCAAGACGAAAGCAGCTTTGAAGCATTACAAAGTACAAGATGGTATCCTCTACAACCAAGGTAGAATAGAGGTACCTGACGTCGACGACATCAAATACTCAATACTAAGAAGCAGACACGACTCATTGCTTGCGGGCCACCCAGGTCGAGCAAAGACTCTCGGATTGGTCAGGAGAAGCTTCATCTGGCCATCTCAGAAAGCGTACGTCAACAGGTACGTGGACGGTTGTGACTCTTGTCTAAGGGTTAAATCAACCACACAGAAACCCTTTGGGACTCTGGAGCCATTACCGATACCGGCTGGCCCGTGGACGGATATCTCATATGACCTTATCACCGGCCTCCCTGCATCAAACGGCTACAACAGCATATTAACCGTGGTGGATAGATTAACGAAAATGAGTCATTTCATTGCTTGTACTGAATCAATGTCGGCTGAAGACCTAGCAGATCTCATGATGAAGAACGTATGGAAGCTTCATGGAACTCCCAAGACGATAATCTCAGATAGGGGTAGTATTTTCATTTCACAGATCACGGAAGAAATTGACAAACGCCTAGGTATACGCCTTCACCCGTCAACCGCTTTCCACCCACGTACAGACGGTCAAAGCGAGATCGTCAATAAAGTAATCGAACAATATTTACGACATTTCGTTAAATATCGACAAGACGATTGGGAAAGTCTACTGCCCACAGCTGAGTTCTCGTATAACAACAAAGACCATGAATCCACGGGCATTTCACCGTTTAAAGCTAACTATGGATTTAACCCATCATTCAACAAAGTACCATCAGCTGAACAGTGTGTGCCAGCAGTAGAGAAGAGGATGCAAACACTCGCCGAAGTGCAATCTGAATTAAATCAATGTTTAGAATTAACTCAAGAGAAGATGAAAGAACAATTTGACAAAAGAGTACAACAAACACCAAGATGGGAAGTAGGAGACCAAGTCTGGTTGAACGGACGAAACATTTCGACAACTAGGCCAAGCCCAAAATTAGAAAATAGATGGCTAGGTCCTTTCTTCATTATCCAAAAGATATCAAATTCTACTTATAAATTGAATCTCCCTCTTTCCATGAAAAGCGTCCATCCTGTATTTCATGTCTCTGTACTCAGGAAACATAACCCGGATACAATACATCAACGAAAACAACCCCCAGTCGAACCAATCATAATACAGGATGAAGAAGAATGGGAAGTCAACGAGATACTAGATTGTAGAAGAAGGTACAACAAGAAGGAATACTTTGTGAGTTGGAAAGGATTTGGCAAGGAAAACAATTCATGGGAACCCGAAATCAACCTCAAGAATAGTCAAGATTTAGTTAATGAGTTTAATTTAAAATATCCCGACGCAACAAATAAGTACAAAAGGAGAAGGCGGAAGAAGTGAGAGGGCTATGCTTTTTCCCACTGGGTTTTTTAACGCAGCCCGTGGAAAGAATGCAGAGCTTGCAAGAGGAAGCTTGGGCATTAAAGGGGGGATAATGTTATGAACTGGTTCTATTTCACTTGAGTGACATATTCACATTACATGTCACAAGCTCGAGAACCATCTTATAGTTGTAGATACATTGCCTGTACAGATTTTCCCTCATCCGACAATCCACATAGGAAGACTGGTAATAGATACAAATCCTCACCAGAACTCCCTTGACCCTCGTCACCGAAAACCCCCAAGTCTGTCCATAACAGGATGCTTGATGCACGGACGTTGAGGTTTGGCCGCCATTTCCCCCGGAGATGTGGTTGCCGACAGGAGGCCTCCCAGATGAGAAATCGAAACCGAACTTGGGATTGCCGGGCGCATACGGATTGTCCTCAAAACGAAGGTCTCCCGCTACTTCTGCCTCCCACCTGGCTGCATCTTTGATGTCAGGTTGGAGTCCAAAAGGTAAAATGACCTTGTCCTTTTTCGACTTCTTGCCTTTCGACTTCTTCTTGACAACTCTTTGTCTTCTGAAGATCACCGTTCGAACTAAAAGGTGATACCTTAGGCCAACCATCCAGCATTTATACTTGCGTTTCAAGGTGGTAACAATTTCCTTATGCTTCTCAATGTAATCCGCATAAGGAGCTAGGTCGTAAATTTCTCTGGCGTAACGTGCTTCTAAGTCGCACATTTCCATGAAATCCCCAAAGTTAATCTGTCGTTCTAGTTGAACCTCCGGGGCAGGAGCTGACGTGCTACTCATGGAAGATTGTTGGAGAGATGTGACCGTATGCCAGTAGTTGATCGAGGAGCGCTTGAAGACGGTCAATGGAACGTAGGCCCGCAAACGCCTAAACCCCTTATCCCATTTGATTGGCAAGTCTAGTAAATCCGCCGCTTTTAAAGATCGATTTTCGAAGCTCAGCTCAGGGTCTTCATCCGAGGAAGAATCACTGGAGTCATTACTTCCTTTCTTGGTCGACGAAGAAGATTCAGATGACATCCCCGATTTCGTCTTCGATCCCGAGGTTGAATTGGAGGAACTCGATGAGCTAGAAGAATCGGAAGGAAAATCTTGGACTTCTGGAGCTTTCCCCTTTCCTTTGGCACGACTCTTCCCTTTCTTCGCTGGAGGTTGGATTTCCGCAGAGGAAGGAGGCTCAGAAACTGACTTCTTGTCCTTCCGTTTCAAATTCTTCTTCTGCTTCTGGTTCTTTCCCGTCTCACTTGGTCCTAAAAAGGGATGTGGAAGCAGGGCGCAGACATGGTTGGTAATCCAAAAACTTCCCGCCAGAACCCAGTCTGGATTGACGTACCTTGGTTTGACGAGGATGGAGGCTTACTTAAGCGGGGGAGAACAGGCGCCCCATTTCCATACTTCACATTAAGTTCAGACGACAAGGTTCTAACTTGTTTCTCTGTCCCATGCTCAATCGCGTCCACGAGAGCATTAACCAAGGATTGTTTGTCCGCTTTCTGTTCCTTCGTAAAATTGTTGAAACGAACTAGATAAGAACAAGTGCACACCAAATCAGCACAAGACTAAGATCTTGGCGATGGAAGCATGGAATCGGATTTGGATATTGCTGTGTTATCCGGGCGCGTCAACGCAGCCAACACTAACTGTAGAGTTCACCATGCTCGCGCTCTTGGCTGCGGCCTCATTGGAATGGTATAAAAAAGGCTTCGCCAGTCCCCAAATTCCCAGTGACGGGACAGCGCATTAAGCAGCTTAGTCCAAAATTGCCCAGCTGCCCAATAAAGAGGCGCTATAATGGGAAGGTACTCCCGAGAAATCTCTGGGAAAGGAAGACGTGAGAATGTAGCTACTAACCTTTATCCTTCCTTATCAGCATATCGCCGTCGCTACCGCTTGACGAGGAGGAGTCACCTGAAGAAAGTTGATCTCGAGAAGTCGATTGGGCACCTTGATTGCTCAAAGTTAGTTTCAACCTTCTATTCGGAGGATCTGCTGTTCTGCCGCCGACATTGGAACTCGCGGTAGTGGTGATATCCGCTGACTCCTTGTTTTGTGACTCTCCATTCCCCCCTTGACCAACCGCGAGCTCCGTTGAACGTGGAGCGCGTAGCTCATCGTTCATATTATTGGATGTCGCATTGGTTGGCTGGCCCGATGTAAAGTTCGACGTCGGTTGTGTCTGGGAGGGTGACATTTCTCTGGATCTTGACTTCGCTCGGTTTGCTCTGGCTATCGCTTGCTGTTCTGTCTTGCTAGCTCGATTGTGCTTCTCAGAGGTGGGATCAGTAGTTACTGAGCCTATGGAAGCGTTACTTCTATTCGAGGTTTCCGTCTGAATACGATTCTGTGTACTCTTCTTCTTCATAAACCCCAGAATAAACCAAAGTTGTTGGTTATTTCTAGAATGTGATTTAGAGTATTCAGAAAAGGAAAACGAAGAGGTTGGAGACTTGGTTTTATCCGGATAGATCAGAGTAAGAATTAAGAAAAGACTAAAAAATTTTCCCTCGATTCAAGAGTTTAGCGCACTAAAGCTTGAGAATTGAAACGAGAGAAGACGGAGCTAGGGATTCGGCAGTGGTGAGTCAGGAGGAAAGGAAGTGTAGCGTGAGGGGGGAAGAGGAAGAGTCCCCCTCTATGGTATACATACCTTTCCTGCGCATGTGTTCTAGACGACCAGTTGCTGAGCTGGTCTAGTCTGAGCTCAACTGTCACCAGGGCCGAATCAACCGCCCCGACCTTGAAATTGGACTTTGGCCTACCGTCGCGTGCTTAGGGTATACCACCAAAAGGAGACAAGAAATTCAAAACACTCAAAACACTTGAGTTTGATCGAAGCCGTGACTCAAACAGATTACACATCAACTTCACTTTAACACTGCTTTGTAGAATTACTCAATTTGGAAAATTTAGCTTGCTCTCTACAATCAACAAATCAACAATAACAGCATCCTAGTTCCACACCAATCTCATTGGGTATTCATTATCTTTTCAAGCTGGGTGACCTAGTGGTTTGATGTCAGATACCGGCGAGATAACACACTTCCATTGGATATGTATGGGGAAGAGACTCAACCCAGTGAAGCTGGCTTACCATAACAGCAAACAATTCAAAGTGTCTCCCTGCTAGCATGTCCTCTCTTCCAGAATAACTTTCATGGAATAGACTGAGGTAGAGCACCACACTGACAACATAATTGAACTGCCTTTGTGCGTAACTTTTAGGATCTGCTGTTATGGGAGCTGGACAATCGTGTTTCCCACTGGCACTCGCCACCACATTACAACTCTAGAGGCTCTTTGAACAAAGGTATTTAGGAAGACCTTCGTGCAGAGATGCTCGCGGTTTGTGAGGCTAGATAAATGTGAAGTGATTGGGTTGTGTCATATAATAAATTTGATTAGTAGATAAAGAACCAAAGTCATTCTTGGGGAAAAGGGGCGGAGTACATACATATATACATTTTATTTATGATAGGGTCAATCAACAGGACGAATTTACAATATTTTGCTATAGATCATCCTCAAATAACAATTCTAGGGGGAGATATTTATGTGTGAAGAAGAAACTGCAAAGCGGTTAAGATATGAATCGAGCAGCGAGGTATGTGAACTTGTACTTTAGATACGCGGCAGAGTGACCTTTCCTCTAAGAATCACCTTTGAATCCGCCGGTTGAGAGGGAGTCAGGAAGATGTCCATTGCAACTTTGAGCTTCTTTCTGGTCTGCCGTCAAGATTATTTCTAAATCTCCACCGACAGTAAAGACTTTGTGAAAGTCAATGAAACACCGCGACAATGTACCATTTCCATTGAATCTGACATCCTTCACATAAGCAGATACGCCCTTTGGTATAGGGTAAACTAAACTCCTTTTGTCGAAACCAGTTACTCGAACGGTGGTTGCAACATTGAGATAGCGATTGTGAAGTGTATACCTTGATACCCAAGGTGATAGCACCAGGTATTGAGTTGTTGAGGGAACAGGGAACAAACCCAATAGATGAAACAGCAAGAAAGTGGCCATGGCTCCCTGATCATCATTTCCAGCTGTGATACATGATCAATGAATTGCACGTCAGTATCGGTTCACTGTGTACACTTTACATCGATGACTTACGGATTCCAGCTGAAGTAGCGTTGAAGTCTTTGCGTACCACCCATCGACTCCGTGAGACTGAGTCTGCTGGCTTGTCAGCATAATGATATCCTACTGGGGCTTGAAAGCTGGGCTCGTTCCCTGCAGAATAATAGCCTGCATCAAAGAAATGGTCCAATCTTTTCGCAAAGATCTCCTTGCCCCCATGAAGTTCGATCAGATGTGCTGTGTCGTGGGGCGCGTACAAGCTATATTCCCATGGGCTACTCTGCAATCACAAACCATGCTAAGGTTAGTTTCTTAGGCGGAAGATAAGAGCAGAAAATGAGTTGCTCACTTCGTAGAACCCTGTGCTATCCGTCCAATCAAAATAACACGATCTTCCTTTGACCGGGTCTTTGGGGGAACAGGCTTTTGGATCTGTGTAATAAAATTCGCCATTTTCATCTCGTCTTTGGAAGAATCCTGAAGTGAAGGCGGGGGGTCAGAAAGGTTCGGAAGGTCTTTCAAGGTAAGATGGTTTGATCATGGGTTCTTACCTTTGTAGCCATCGCTTTCGATATCTGGATTCCATACATTGCGATACCACAGAGCTCGAGTCTCGTACTTTGCGGCGTCTGTGAGGTTACCCAGAAGGCGAGCTACTTGATTGACAGCGAAATCGTTCCACGAATACTGGCGTAGCATTTTATCGATCTTTAATATTTGATCTGGTATAAAAGACTTCACAAAATAAACTAACCTCTAATGTTCGACTAACTTCACGTGTGACATGCCCAGTGCTGGTTGGATCATCATATCCGTAAGGGATATACCCAAATTTTCTAGTGTTCAAGGAGAGAAATGAGGATAAATTTTTGAGGTTTTCCTCGGAACAACCAAAACAGATCAACGAACTTCCAAACATTGACCTGTCGTCCGCCAAAGTCCCAACTGAAACAATAGATACGCACAGGCTGATATCAACTTGGAGTCTGGTCATGAATTGATTATACAAAAGAACTGACTTATCAGGTGTATTCTCAGCATCAGAAATCATCGCGGTATACATCTCGTGGAGGTCCACTCCGAGGTCAGCAGCTTGCTTGTGGTACTTTAGCGCAAAGTCAGCCATGATATTGAGGCCGTGGGCTCCACCTTGAGAATATCCAGGCAGGTTCTGTTGAAGAAGAGCATAAGCGGTCAATATTTAGTTTATGTGAGGTCAAGTATTGAATCTCAACTGAAATTGGAATTTACATTGCTGCGGCACTCAGGAATTACACTAAATTCAAAAGTTCAAAGAACATCAGTCATACAAAAAGAACAGATCAGCATTAAAAAATTCGTAGAGAGATTAAGTTGAACTGACCCAGTCTTGCGCCAGCCATCGATATATCCTTCAACAAGCTGCGCACTTTCTCTAGGTGAATGAAGATTCATCCATGGAAAGAACGTACGGGACGTGTCCCTGATTGTAATAATGATCCGAGTGTAAAATCAAGCACCATTTTAGTGGGGAAATCCATCATATCATGCATCAAACTATGACAAACCATGAGCAATAGAGGGAGTCAAAGTAGGGCGATGTGGTATTTTCGAACAAGCCTATAGTGTTCCAAATCAAAAGACGGCGTCAGTATTCGCAGAAGCATGCTGGACTTAGAAAATGGATAGTATAGAGCAGTGAAAGGCAAGATAGACTGTATACCTTGCGTCTCGCCCGTTGCATTGTTTGGGGTCAAAAAAGATCGATACATGCTCGAGTATCTGAAACACATTGAACATCGACCGCGCCAACGTCATTAGGCTCAAAAGCTTCGCTGAAGAAAATATGATAGTTTGACCAACATCATTACCGCAATGTCCTCTTCAGTATCCTCCAATGGAATTTCTAAGATTTCTAAACGCTCATTCCACATTTTCACGCTCTGTTCTCGAATCTGATCGAATGATCTTTCGCCAATCTCCTCTTCCGCGTTCCTACAGGCTTGATCTGCAGAGACGAACGAAGTACCCACCCTGATGTTGATGATGTTGATCCCGGCCGGATATGAGAATACGGCTCCAGCTTCCCCATTGGCGGAAGGCATGTCGAGTTTGGTCTGGCCAGGTTGTATCTTTGTGGTGTAATTCCTGTGGAATTGTGCCAGGATGAATTAGCGTTAGAATCACGAATTCAAATTGATGTACTTCGACTACTTACGAGTCAAAATACCACACTCCAAATTCATCCAATGGAGTTTCTCCATTTTGTGTGACGTCATAGCACGAAAATGCTTGATAGACGCCTCCTGATCCGAAGCTGGAAACCTGGCATCAGACAGAATACTCGGGCAATCATTTGAAAAGTGCACTCACCTTGGCCCCCATCTTCCTCCCAGTTTGATACGTCCTTTCTTTGGATCAATCTCCATCTGCCCTCCTAAGAGTTGTGCATTCAGAAGCATGGCATAAGTGAGTGGTTTTGGTGATCGGATATCTGAGATGTTATCGATTTGACAGCGCATCTTACCTTCAAAAGTGAGGGATATGTCATGGGCCAAATCCAGCACAAAATAGGCTTTTTGCCCACTATCAGGCTCAAATGTGAATCGCTCCAAACCGGCCCTGCGCGTAGAAGTGGCCTCTAGCTTGATCATAGGGTCTTTCAAGGTGCTGGAAAAGTATCCAGGTGCTGCTTCTGTTGATTGAAAAAACTCATAACTATGAGTGGATGAGACTCGTCCCACGGTATGAGAGAAAAAAACTGACCATCAGAGCCTGCAGCCCGGTATTTCATTCTTTCTTCAACTGTAGTGTTACAAGTATCTAAACCCTGAGGACATCGCATGGGCATGATCTCAAAGTTGCCATAAGAGCTATTGGTGATAGAAAGTATCGTGATGAATGGACGTTGGCTGCATTGCTTGCATTAGTAAACACACTCACCCTGGCGCGCTTCCAATTCCTGAGTCGTGTAAAGGGCTCAGACCGAAAACTTGAGCCTTGGCATCGGCAACATATCCTGAAAGTAGCTCGCACTATGATCAGTGACATCGAAAGACAATGAAGTGCGGGTCATGGCTCACCAGCTGGTGCATAACCCTGACAATCGACTGAAATCTTTACCATTCCGAAAGGAACTGGGAGTTTGCGTAGATGAGAAGGTCAGCCCAGGTTTCAATGTGCATTCGAGATTGCCGGCAGTCGGACCCACCTGAAGCGCCAGGATTAACGAAACCCAAGTTATCCGTTCCGATGAAGGGGTTCTATGTCCAAGTTAGTGCAGAGTGTTGGACAAGCCCGAAAGTCGAATGCATCAGTTCGGCTTCGAGGACTGGGAACGCAGATACCTTGTCAATATGAGTGACATACCACCCAAGTAGAGAGATCTGAGTACGATCTCGTGGTCTTCAATTGTTTCTTCGTCGAACTCGTTGAGGGTAAGAGATCGCCAACGAGCCTAGTCGAGGAAAACGAAGGAGACGGGCCATTCGAATGTGGAGACGAGCCGCGAGAGAACAAATGGTATATTGTCAGAGTAATTATAAGGATGGGGAGCCACCACGTCCTGAAATAACGCGACACCTGAACCGACTTCATCAAGAAGTCTGAATATGTTTGATGCTCGAAGTTTGCGGCACGGTCAAGTCGATATTCTGCAGGAAAAGTCTGCGGAAACCTGCGTGAACTCAGGGTGGCACGACTCGGGAGTTTATATCATTGGTTGAACTAGAAAATGGAGGGCGGGGACTGGGGACGACTGACATCATATGAATGACATCATATGAGATATATTCATGTCAATCCCACCATAATTATAATTAGAAAGCCTTACCCAGGCCTTTGATAGGATAAGACGTAAACATACAACCAGTGCAGCCTCAAAGCTACGGCCAATTTGATTTGTTTTTACGATGAGGGCTGTGTTACGCTCTGGCGAGCGGTCGCTTTGAGGTCGGATCGTCTAGGATGACTCACGCTCTGAAGTCAAACTTCGCGAGTGACCATTTGGGTAATCCCACGCTTGATGTGCTTCCTTGTATTAGGCACTCAGTACCGGTTCATTTACCTCTTGTTGAACCCAAGTCCTTGTCAATCGTCCATATCAGATTTTTCTTCTTCGCCATGCAAGCTGGACGACCAGAATCTGGGGCGACACTTGGAGAGCTTCGAAAAATTTTAGACAAATGCTATGAAAAGTTTGATAGCGATGAATCCGAAGAATAGTCGGCGCGGGTGGTGTCAGTGAGCACTCGGTCGTCCCGATGCCTATGTGCCTGAAACGACGGACATGATTGCCCATTTCTGTGCCGTCAGCTTCAAAGATGGATGCAGAAAGATTCTAGAAGAACATAACTGATGGCGATCCTTTCTTCAGCGTGTGAGCCAAATCGTTGCGGCTAGTGGAACTCATCAATCTGATGTTAGGCAAATCCAAGCCCCATCGAATTTATCTCACATTGAGGAACATTTTATGGTCCATCAAGCTGGTTTGACTTCTAAAGATTCTCAGCGGCTACGGCGGCGTTGTCAAGGCCAGGAAGCGCGCCATAAGGTGGACAGCATCTCAAATGAGTCTGTGAAGATAGCAAACTTAACTTCAAATCCCGGTAGAGCTTGTATTACTCATCCAGATTGTTGCAGATCCATTGGACATGAGAGGACATGAGTGATTTTGGATTTCATCTCCGGATCATCGATGTTGATTGTGACCCTCCTGAATTATTCTCTCAAGGTAGCAATCACCGCTGTATTGCATCATCATCTCTAGCGCGAGCAGCAAACCCGGTCGTAAGTTTTTCCTCCCCTCTTGCGCCTTTTAACACACCACCATGTATATATTGAGCAAATTTGGATATCAGGAGACAGCTTACAGTGCACCACAAAATTCAATTTATCGACCCGAGATCCGCAGACTGAGATGTCATTAGACAGAGTGGTGATGTGCTCCAAAATGACAGAGATAGATTTGAAAACTAAGTGTTCCCCTCAAAGAGTTGACAAGCAAATTAAAGACTTTTCTCGTCGATCATATATACAATGGTCCAATTGTGTGGCCATGTTTTCATACATTGTCAAATCAACGCAAGATTACATTTGATGAGTTCTGGAGGTGTAAAGCATTGCTAGACATTGTATCAAATCCAGACAAGCTCACTTCCAAAGTCTTTGCATCATCCACAGAAGGCAATTAATACAGCTCGGCTTCCAGCTATGAACATTTCGCCTCCTCAAGAAATACAGGTAAGCTCTGCTTGGACAAGAGTATGACAGAGGTCCTATCGCTTGATCAAGTTTGATCTGGTTCATCAGAAGCATCACAGAAGGAGTCCCACTCCATATCTAGTGTCTTTAAGTTGCTAACTCGACTACCGTGAGGGGAAATCGGCTGGTCGATTTGGGGACGAGGTCGAAATGGATTTCGAGATGGGGTGTCATGAGAAGGGCATGAATCGAGTTCAGATGGCGCAGCAGACCGATTTCGTAAGGGGCTATGAAAAGGTTGGGCGAGCAAGGCGTTTTGAAGTGGCATAGCCTGCAACGGTGTGATCATGCGCTTACGTAGAGAATCTATGGCCTTCAGTGGACTGGTGTGAGTATCGTTATGTGGACGAGATCGCGCGGGTGTTATCTGTGGCACAGGCTTGCTAGTCGACGCATTGGAGGGATGAGGACGCTTAGACTTGACAGATTGCTTGATGTGTTCATCCAGAAATTCCATCTTGCGTTTGCTACTTTCCTGGCGGGCCTGTGGATTGATAGGCGTTGCCACTGGAAGAACCTTGAGGATAGAAAGAAAAGACAACCATGAAACAGCGAAGAGGCACATAGGAATCGGCATCTTCATTCGTACCTTGTACCCAACTTCTATAAGATTGACGATCTGGGCTAGGTAGCAACTAGCCCTGAGCTGGTGATCGTCTTCAACCTGATTGAATTCGATTTCATCATCCTCCGTAAGCGCAAACGTGTCAGGAAGTTGGCAAGAAGGCCCAGCATTTGGTTGGCTCGTTAACCGCGACCGTCGCGAAGCAGCCTTCACAAAAGTTTCAGCTAAGCGGTCGGAACGATCAGAATAAAGGTATGCTTTCGAGTTCACCTGTCCGTTCGACCCAGAACATGAGGACATCAGACATACTATGGTCACAAGGCGTTAAGCTGCAATATTCTAGCAAATGTGAGACTTACGTGATGCAAGCGGACCTCGCCTGAATTAGACATCGTGATTTCAATATGAGGTTCACGAACGTTCGGGTGGTATAAAACATATCAATCAAGGTATTCGTTCAAGCTTCTGGTCTCCTTGCGCCCCTTCCCCAAGCCTTGCATTTCAAGGGATATTCTACAAGTAATGGTGTGCAAGGAGCAAGCATTGATCTCTTACCGCACTCACCATCATGCCATACTTTTTTGTTCTTGTAAACGTCAGAAGTATACATACAGCTGTACTTCTTCTGATAAGCCCTTCCATACCGATGAACAAAGGAGATCAGCAGAATTTTGGTTGGTTTGTTCATAGTCGCGAGAATCGACACTAACAATGACCACGGGAAGACCTTCGTGTACGAGGGAGGATGAAGCAGTCCGGTTATCTGCTTCCTTTGGTGAGACTGAATCCCGAGGGGCTGCGTCAAATGCCATTCTCTGGATAGGGACGTTGGTAAAGAGATTTGGCTGGTGAATCGATATAATTCATGAAGTCTATCAAAATCATCACGCCGTCTTGAGTGCATACATACCCGTGTGACAGTGGACTTCAGATCCGCAGACTATACCGAGTCCGGGTCGAGTACATACATATCACGCCTCTTGGTCATCAACACCCGATTGCCCTTGCCACTTGGGCCTTGAACCAACCTACATTTTATATCTATCATCTGTGTCACACCTTTCATCGATAGACCTTCTCTAATAGCTATGGCATCTTCGAGTACAGAGAAGAGATCAATGATAGCCCCTGAACGTGAGTGCATTCTTTGAATGATCCAAGAGAAACGGGGCTTGACTTGGCATTGAAAAACTCGTCCTCCGATCTTCCGTATTACTATCGTCAACTTCATGTTATAAGGCGCCGTTCGCTTTGTCTGGCCCACGGAGGATAACGATGATTTTGACGTGACTGGCCGTACGCAATCCACGCTCCGCTTGTAACCAGTGTGAGGCTCCCACAAGGAGACTGATTGAACCTGAACTTGAATACATAGTCTCCTCGATGGTCTTTGCTGGAGTCTCCCTCATGCTAAAGAATCCAATCCTGGCATGGATTGGCTTGATGTTCTCGATCACAGCAATCTTCAATCATGATTCAGACCGGAGATCTTCAGGAAATCAGGCCTCAAATCCGTATCAAGGCGTGCTGTAAGCATCCTTTGTTTCTCAAGTCTGAAGTGTCTTTCCTCGGCAATGGCCTCCTAGTTGTTAATTCAGAGCCATAAATCGCGTGTAACACGCACGTTTGCAACTGGCTCTTGATCTCAGGTTCTCAATTTTGGCTTTGACAACATCATGTAAGTGTTTAGGTTAAACTTATGCCAAGACAACTTTCATGGGATCTGACAGAATGAATCTTTAGATGTCCAGAAGTTGGTTGATCCAAAAACAAGAGTTCAAGTACCACCTGCAAACTGAGCCAACAATTGAAAGCCGCCCTCTCAACCGGAATCAAGATATTGCGAGAACAGATGTCATGCTCGACAGCTTATTAGGAGACTAGTCCCGTTCAACAAGTGTTAGCAGTCCGTCTCATTGAGGCAACGCATGCGATTATGACAGGGCTTGCCTTTCAAGAAGCTAATCAAAGTACCAATTGTGTGTGGACTTGTTCTGCTGTATGTTCGTAGCTGTTCCCAAAGCCAGATGGAGATGCTTCCCTGCTTCAGTGCACACAATGTGGCTCAATGAGTCATTCTATGAAGAACTCTGTACAGCTGATTTACTGTTGGTCAGCTGTGTCTTTGATTGGTTGGAAAACCCAGTCATAGAATGGAGAGAACAGCTCATGGGATAAGATAAGTACATCACTCATGAAATTGATACAACAAAGAAGGGCTTGAAAGGTGAGATATCAGCCTCACAAGTATCAAAGGATGGTCTTCAATAAAGGCACTGCTGGTTTTGATAACATGTTGAAGGATGAGGAGCAGTAAGAAACAAGGGAATTGAAGAGCTAGATTTACTCATACAAATAAGTCAAGCTACAAAAACTAATTAAATACACAATGAGTAGGAGTATGAGACCATGCACACTGCCAACAAATTTACCCCAAATTTACAAATCAAAGGTAAAATTGGACCAAAGTACCTTGGACACAACATCTGAGTATTTGAGCCAAGACGTCTTTCAGTGCCAGTTGAGGCCTTGGATCATTACCTTGGACTGTATGTCTGAGGTAATTGAGTTCAATGTAGGATGGCTAAATCCTCTTTCAATTCCAAAAAACTTACCACAACCCCATTGCCCTCATTGCCTACCCCACAACAAACATCTACCACCAATCAATGCATAGTTTCCACACAATCAATCTGTTCACAAATCTACTACTTGGCACCCATCACTTCACCTTTCTATTTGTCATCAACCAACAACAAGGTGATTGTCTTGATTTCAATTTCAATTTCTTGAATACAAAATTCAAGCAAAGCAAGCCCTGGAATGTTTGAGAGCCCCAGACTATCCAGAACTGTCTCATACCCCTCAAATATTCCTAGAATGTCAGTCCACAGGAAGCTCTTATCATCACATGGCACCATTATTTCACTTGTTTCTCTTCTTACTTCCACCATGCCCACGAGTTTACTCATTACATCAACTTTCCTTTCTAACTTGAAATTTTTAATTTAGAGTTCACAAAATATCTCAACTGTCACAGTCAGTTCATTTCAGCCTAAGTGATTGACAGAGACAAGCACAATCAATTCCTTAAGATTCTTAATGTTAACTTCTTTTTAGATCAAAAGTAGTTGATATGTTGAGATTGGTTGAAGGAATTCATACGAATGAAATGGAATGATCATAATTGGATAAATGTAAATCATCAAAATGATCATGAAGTTGAAGAAATTGGTTGAAGTAAAGGCAAATAACCAAAACAATAATGAAGTTACAGAAACCAATTGACAATCAAATCTCTTTAAAAAGTTAGCAATACCAGATGTGATTTAATTCAAAGTTTATGAGACTTTCTTAAGTTCAATTCACTCAATCAATCTTTTCATAAATAAAATGTAAAGAAAGAGATTTCCTTGTTTGTTTTGCAGTTGAGGCTTGCAGTTGAGAGGTTTCCTCAGGTCACAAAGCCATTGCTTCATGTCTGTTGCAATAGCACTCAAGGGCGTTTGAACTAACTTGGTGGGAGTTTCTGTGGGAGTGGTTTGCTGGTTTGAGAGGTGATTTGGATGTGTTGGTGTTATGATGAGGGGGTATTGAAATTTGGGTCTAATTGCTTTCTGTTCACATGGGTTTTTCAGATCTTGCAATCTGTACCCAGATGAGAACCCCATTTGAAAAAACCTTGATGTTGGTAACTTGTTATTAACTGAATGGAATGAGAGAAATTGGAACTGTATTACATACAACATGTCACTGACAGGTCAGAATTTCCATTGTCTATCAGACTGAGCCTTGGAACCAATGCCCCAAGGGTTCCCCAAGCCCCAAACCCTTGGGGTGCGGGTTCGGTCACCTTTTCTGGGACCGCAGTACATTGGAGGCCCCATAGGGCTGGGCGCGGGGGGCCTAGTCCTCAAAGCCCTGATCTCATCTGCGGGGACCCCCGGCTTCCTGCAGGTTTTAGGCATTTGGGATAGGGGTTGGGGGGCCTCCTGGAAGCTGGGTTTCAATTGGTTTGGGTAGGGTTCAGGCACGGGGGGGCCATATCGGTGCGGGGTGCGGGTAGGCCATCACCCATGTTTTTCGGGTTGGGGCTCAGGCTGAATTGTCTATTCTACCACTCATCTTTGGATGATGTCATAGGCTCTTTACCTTCTTACCGATTTCCTCCCATTGTGTTTACTTCATTGATTTTATCTTCTACAAGTTATCTTTTTTGTGTCCAACCCTCCCATGTTCCCTTGTTTCAATCTTATTATTGTTTCATATTTTCCAAGTTCAAAGCTTACTGTTCTTTGGTCGTTTTGGTTGGTTTTATTTTATTTTTATGTTGGCTATATCTTATATTATTTAAAACTTGTATGATGGTTATTGTTCAGGTTTCTTTTCTATTGAAGTTATTGTTTGAACTTGTTATTAGTTTCATATTTTGTTGTTAAACGCTATGCTGTTTCATTTGGTTCATTATTATCAGTTTCACAATTTTTACATTATCTTTGGCCACTAGCCACCACGTAGGATGTTGCTTGTTGTTCTCATTGGTCAAGAAATTATTAACCTTAGGCACTTTGCCTAGGAAGTTCTCCCAAACACCACATCTCACTGCTTCAGTGTCTTTTACTAAGTATTTTAGTAAGTTATTCCTGATCTCATTTCAAAAACATCATATTGGTTCATACAGGTTCTTTCATATGGTTTTTCACAAGGGTTTTAATGTCACTTTACCACTATTGAACCTGTTAAGGCTTTCCATTGGTATCCCTCAGATGTGGCACAATTTCAACAAAATGAATATCAAGGTGTTCCATGTCTTCATTCCTTTTTGAACTTTTGGTCAATAGATGAGGATAAGGGACAAGATCATTAGTTATGCTCACAGTTGCCTCAATGGAAAGGGTGCAAGAGCAATAATCAAGTGTCAAAAACACCCACATATATAGATCTTGTGAGGGGGAATACAAAGAGATGTTTGATATTGAGTATCATGTGGTACAAGGCTCTCATCTGTGGTTCATGTATTGAATATCAAAAACTATACTGGTATTTCTGTACTCCTGATTTGGTGTCACATTCTATGTTGTGATACCTATGGCCAAACCCTATGTGTGACAATGTGAACAGGGAGTATTAGGGGGTATTGCAATAGAATGGTTGCAAGTCAACCCAATGGTCAAACATCTGCCTTTGATTCCCACAGTTATGGTCTACAAATATTTTTTAAGAAGTTTTTCAAAACATCAGAAATTTCCTTTTTGTTGTGTTCTGACTTTCTGATATCCTGGCGTGTTTGAATGCCCCTCATGCCATACAAGTGCCAGAAGCCAATATGAGCTCACTGGTGTGTAATTGGACTCATCATCCACTGTAAATTCATCTTGCCTATCTCATCTCCATCCAATTTCCTCCACTTCATTTCACCAATTTCAGCTCCCTTGAATTTTTTGACATGAGAATCAATTCAATTCAAGTTTAAAAAGAATCAATCAATCAAGATACTAACTATTGACCTAGGTCATATTAGTCTATGTACATAAAAACCTTCTGACTTTCTGGTGTCCTGAAAAACTTCTGAAAAAACTCTGATGTTTTTCTGAATTAATATTGGTAGACCATAAATATTTGTAAAAAAACTGCAAATGTAGAACATAATGTTTTCCTCTAAATTCTTCTGAGAATCCAGTGGTGATACTGATTGTGCAAGGTTCTCACATAAGGAAGTACTTTTGGAAGACACTATCTTTTTACTCATCTTTCTCCATTGAGTTGATTCCAGAAGCACAGTTCACACTACACCCCCAAGAAGATTTGTACTGTAGCTTGTGACAGAGAGATCCAGTGGAGGCCGGACTGTGGGGTGATGCCGACTTGCACAACAAGATTGAAATTATCACCAAAACTTCCAGTTTCTGGTTCAGAATCCTAATATTTGTGGTTTGATTTTTTCTTACAAATCATCCTTACAAATCTAGTCTATCCAGAAAGATCTCAATTGAATACTGGAACCCCCACATCCTTGCAATACAATGCAAGACATTTTGCCCATTTTGTTATAAGTTAGGTCTTGAGATACCTAAATAATTTTGAAAAAATCTGTGTCCCATGCTCATACACGGTGCCCATCTGGTCTGCCACAGAAATTGGGGGCTTAAGTAGGTACAAAGTATTGCCTTTTTACCCTTGAGGCCCCCCACCATCCAGAGTCTTATCAGCTGGCACAGTGACACTGCATGCACAAGAAATAAAGTATGATTCTATAAAGCCAGTGAATAGAGAAATCTGTGACCCACAAAAAAGGACAGAAATGTGCTGGTATATTGAAGAGTCTGAAGTATGTCATCTTCTTCTTACCAAACAGGTATATTCCTGTTTTGACGTGGTACTTCTTGAGAACCATTTCTGGAATGATGAGTTGAGAAACTGCTACCTGAGTAAGGACAAAAGTGAGCTAGTTGAAACTCATGGCTCTTTGTGTGCAATATATATGTGGGCCACCAAAACTAAATCTCCTCTTGAGCTATGTGTTACCATAGATGTTATTTGCACTACCTGTTATTGTAAAGAATAGGTATGATATATAAAATCCATGGAATGAGTGACTAGACAAAGGCAATGTCTAAAAAGAAGTTAGACAGCTGGGCATATATATATATATATGGAAGAAAAACTTGCAGGAAACTTGAATTTAGAGAGGTGGAGATTACTGCACACAGCATCAAAAAGTTCTACAAATCACTTGTAGGTGGCTCAGTATAGACCAAAAATTGTGTAGTTCAGAGCTTGGCACTGATATTCTATGCAAGCAAGATACAAAACTAGGTTAAACTCTCATGAACAAATATGCTAACATGCATATGGATTGGCTTCCCAAGAAATCTTTGTGATTGAAAAAAGTGATTACCAGTGCAATCCATCAATATTTCTCATTGTTGGTGGATCTACCTCATTGATGTGATCAGGACTTGATATTTATTGTGTATCATCTCAAGAAGGTACCATCCATTGTTTACCTCTCTTACCATCTTCTTGTTTGGATATGAAGATTTATTAAACCAGGAAGTCAACAATGCCAGGATGTTTTCAAAAGAGAAATCTTTTGAACGGCAACCATTTGAAAAGAATGATAAACACATATCAAGAGCCTGCTTTTCCATGGTGTCAATGCCCTCAAGCTCTTTCCTAGAGACTGAACCTTTGAGTAAGTTGAGAAAACTCCTGAGATATTTCCAGCCATCATCAATCAAGTCTTCCAAGAGCTGACCATGTTCAATATTTGAATGCATAGCCACAAGACTCCCAAAGAAGCATGGGGTAAGCTCATTATACAGCTTCCTCACAAACACATCTGCAATGTGTATGCCTTTTGAATCAAATCTGGGATTATTGGGCACATCTTTGGACTTTAGTGCTTCATTCAACTGATCAAAAAATTCATCTGAGTCCTCCCGCAGTGTTAACATTTCATAATGTTCTTTCCCAATATGAATTGCTGGGCGGTATAAAGCTCTCCATGTAAAATTTCCACTCTTACTAGCTTTTCCAAGGATTCTTCTGTTATGTTTTATTTGGAAGTTATTCAATGGTGCTTCAAATGTACTGACACCAGTCAGGGGCTTCAACTTCAAGATATTCCTCTGGATAAGTATAGCAAAATTGTCAAGTCCTGAGACAATGATTTTGTCTTGGTAAGTAGAACCCCTAAACCATCTTTTCCATAAACTCCAAAGTAATTTCAGTGTAATACGTGATGGGTGAGATAACTTTGTAGTATAATGAAGTAAATTAGAAGGTTTAGATATATCAAAACACTTGTGAAAGTTTGTTTCCCATCCTTTGACCTCATGTTCAAGACCTACTCTGTACAACTGAGAAAAAAATGTTTGCATGAATTTGGTTCCATCTTGAATCAGTTCATCCTCAAGATTTGCTTCAGTATAGGTTTGAGGATGTAAGATCAACAATATTCCAATGAAAGGCACAGTCAATGTTTTGTATGCCTTGTGAATCTGAGGCCAAAAATCTATATCAGTTGATTTTACTACCTCATTTTTTAGGTCTTTAACAAAAATCAAGCTTTTTGGATTGTATGTCTTTAATTCAAGATTTTTTGATTCACTAAACAGCTTTATTGACTTAACCAACTTGCTATGGAAGTTTCTATCATTTACAAAAGCTTCTATTGGATACTTGTCAAAAGTGTCAATACCTCTGTTATCAGGGCCACCATCATTAGATTCCTCCAAATTTTCTGTCATAGATACTGTTAGATTGGGCTGATCATTTGACTTTAACATAGACTTTTTCCTTTTCTTTAGATTATTGCCCTGCTGTGTATCCTTGGATCCTGTGTAATGAGGAACTATGGGCCCTGGTATACTTTCAGATATATCCTCAGCTGTGGCAAGCAGAGATGACGAGGCAGCTGGAGCATCAGCACCTGAAGGTCTGGTTTCAGGAGTCATGTGTTGGGCCTCAATTGTGGATGGAAAGGGGTATTTTTCTTGATGACTACTACCTTCCAATACATTTCTCTGCCATTCTGTTGGTGACAGTGGATGGTTTTTACTTTGCTTTGAATTTTCCACCAAATTGAGACATAATCTTTTGGATACAGATTGGGGTATAGTAACTATATCATGATTGTTTTGAGGTTCAATCAAATGAGACACTTGTTGCTCTCCTGGTGTTCCCTGTAAGAAAAGATTGTGGTTTGAGCCCTCCAATCTCACTGGGTTTGAGGATGTAGGCATTGGGAAATTATATATTGGATTGACCTGCGGAATATTTTCTTGAGGAATATATAAACTATCCAGATGTGCCATTCTATGGATTGTGCTGTCTACCCAATATGATGGATTAAGGAGAAGATGTGTGGGTTCTGTCGCAGATGGGTAGAAGTGTTGGTTTTGAAAAAGACCATTATAACCATCCACTGAGAGATGTTCAGGTAAGGAATTCAATCTTGGAGAATAAATGCTTTGTAGCTCTGATGGACCACAAGGTTTCCAAATATCTGAGCTTGGGAGATTTGCTGAACTCTGTCTCAGATCATTTCCCCATTGTGCACCTGGATGATATTCATATTTTGGTAGATGCCCCATGTTTAATTTCTTTTTGTGCGGAGCTGCCAAAAACATATCTTTTATTGAATGTTGGTGATTTTCATCAGAAAGTCCCCGCAAGGCATTTGTTGAATGGGATTTCTGCAAGGTCCAAGAGCCCAATAAGTCACTGTTACATGAGTCTCCTGGGATTGTGTATGTGTTATGGTATATTTGATCTTGTCCAAAAATTGGATCTTTTGAAGTGATCATGCCTAGTATCCCATGATCGAGAGGCTCTGGATGTGTTTGATGTAAAGTTGGATGAGGACTTTTACCCCGATTGAAGTCTTCAGGTGCTGTGAGATCTGTTGGAATCTCATTTTGCATTTTATCAAACTTGTGAGATATATCAAGGGTGTCCATTGGTAGCCCCCAAGTATGATATAATTTCCACAGAATTAGTATCAAGGTGGTCCAAGTGTTCATCTTGTTTTGATCTACTGATAGGTTTTTGTAAAGGGTGTGAAAGATGACTAGCTTAACTATTTTCCAGAAAGTAAATGTGCAATCAAAATAAAAAGTGGCAAAATCAGTCCCTTATCAAACAGAATTCAAAAAATCTAAAATGTCCCATTCATGTTTCATGTATTGAAAACATGTGTCAAAATCAGGAAAGACATTATTGAACTTGTGGCACAGTATGACACATCAATTTTGTTGAAACTCAGAATAAATTAATGCACAGGGTAATCATGAAACCATTTAACCAAGGATTCTGGCTCTTACCTTCCATGCTTGCAAGCCTTTCCAAAACTAGGCAGTTCCACAGAACGTCATCTAAGACGGATACAATAGAAAAGGAGCAAGAATGTTTGACAATACACCCTGTACCACACATGCCAAAGAAATTGAGATCATGCAGTGCCTAAAGGCTGTGTGGTACTGAATACATGGCGGGCCCTGGTGCATTTGTTAGGCATAAAGGGACCCTCATCCTGTACACACTCTGTATTAGTCAAGCATACTGTTCATGTGCATTTAAATGTGCACTGAAGTGTATTTGTGATATACCTATAAGTGCATTTTGGGGTCCATATTAGACCATTCTGGAATGCCTAATGAACATGTCACTGGTGTGAGTAGAGATATGTAATTCATGAAGACACATCATTTAACCATGAATTGATTGAGGGAGTCAGGCTGGGGGTGCAACAGAAAACCTGGCCAAAAGATGCACCTATGAAACTCACAAAGTAGGTGGGCACATCCAAAGCTAATATAGTAGGTTTGGCTCTTTCCTCATCTGGTCACATGAAGTACCTGGTTTTTTCAGTTCCAATCAAAGTCTCACTACCATTGGATTAACAATTACAAATTTGACGCACAACTGCCCAATTGAATACTGAAACAACTGGAATGTAGAAGCTATTGAAGTATTCCATGATGTATTCCACTGTTCAAATCTTGCAGCCCCTGCTGGGAATGGCTTTCTCATGGGCAGCTAAACCTGCCATTCTCTTCTCTAAGCAAAAACAAAGATTTTGTATGATTCCATGTTTTTCCAATTGCAATAAAAAAATTATTTTCTGAAAAGCCTTGAGAAGCACACACAGTGTGCCTAGTGGCGCCTGAGCATGGTCTTACCAAGAAAAAAGATATGCTGGAGCACCTTTTTTAAAAAGACACTCCCAGAGTGAGTTGGATTTGGAAGGCCTTGAATGGTTAAATGCAATGCATTGAGCAAAAGCACTTGCAATCCTGGCTTCAAATCTCATTGGTCCTGTCTCTCCCAAACCACTGGACAATCTTGACTGAGTTATAAGGCATGTGACAAAAGCATTTGTTCTATATATACAACACTAGAGACTACGCGGGCATGCCCGCCACAGGTCACTGGTGAAACACAACCTATACTCCATACAGAGTTGGATTATATAATTTGAAACCTACTCTGCCATTTAGGCCAATTGTGTCTATTTAACTCACCACAGTCCCAAATGTAATCATTGCCCTGTCACAGTTTTTTGTTTGACGCGAATTAACCATCTCAACAGTCTGGGTTGTTTTCACCAAGCAAGAAGTCAATTGTTTTCCTATTACCCAATATTTCAAGGAATAGTGCCTATGCTTGACAATGAGTAAAGTATGTAAGTACAATCATGAAACCTGTTCAAAGGTCCTTAACAAGATTCATTACAACCCTTTGTTTCCCAGGACATGACATATTCCACTATTTATGTTTGTAGGTAATACATCTGAATAGTAGGTTTTGTGAGCGTACAAGGTTTGAATGATCACGAGGTGTTCTCAGTAGGCAGTAAGAGAACACAAGTGAGAGTGCAAAGCAAAGATACCTATGGGTACACAAAACAAAAGTAAGAATGAATGAAGAATAAAAGAGAACAATATATTGAGGAGAACATTCATTCTTATATACTAAAATAAGTGTGTAAGACCTTGGTGCAAGATTGTTAGATTGAAGAATGAATCAAATAAGTGATGCCTTGTTATAATGAAATGTAGCGTAAGATAATTAAGTATGAAAATGAGATTACTAAGGAAGATAAGTAAAAGCAAATATCTTTATAGGTTTCAAGCAGGTGTATCATTCACAGCTTTCACTTTTGATGGAGCCAAAACAATAGTCGACATTAGGAGATGAATACAAACTACCAGGTTAGAAAATGGTATCTATACACAAGATAAAGCGCAAATGAGGTGATATTGAAGAGCAGAGGATAAAGATGTTGAAGTAGGGTTCAGGGGTTTGGAAGAATGTGGATCAAGGTTTGGTGATAGAAAGAAGATGGAAAATTTAGCAGGATATGATTTCAAAGGTGATATTGGTGAATTTTGATTTTGACTTGTTCTGGACGAGGGATATGAGAGCATCTTTTATAGACAAAGATGTGGGCCAACATCTTGTCCAGTACCAAATCAAAAAGCACCCAGCACATTGCAAAATCACAAGAACTGCAAACAAAAGGTAAGTACATTAGGAAGCATGGCATACATATACAGTGGATGATAACAAAGATCGACTTAAGTTAATGCACATTACATGCTATGTAGTTACTCAATATCAAAAGAATGAGTAAACAAAAGGCCAAATGCGCAAGCTGCTATAAAAAAGTAGCAAAAGGAATAAAAGCGACTGTGTATTGAGTGGAGTCCGCAACAAAAACTGGATATCAAAAGAAAACTAATGGGACAGGCAAAAGCAACTGGAGCCTCACATAAGCAAAGGGACCCGACTGACGGATAAAATGAGAGACCCGAACTCATGCGGGCCTGTTCTATATTTTTATATATTAGATTGTTGTTCTCAACACAATACCAGATGTACACTAAGTGTGATATGTGATAATAAAAGCCAATAAATTGTTAGAGTCCTGTGTAAAACACACATCAAAGCTTTACAATTCCTCATATTGTCATTATTTTTTCCTAGATCAATGACCAGAAGCTCCATCAAAGTCTTACAATATGCTTTTTGTCAGGATTCCTTCAACAGTTACGGTACTCAAAACAACCAGGTCCGAGCTACCTTTGTCCAAAACCTACTTTCTAGATCATTCTATGTCTCTGCTGAAATAGGTTTTTTTTGAACATACACGCCAGCACCTAGTTTGTAAGCTTGATTTCCCACCCCGCTCTTCGGGTCTCCACTCTCCCTACCCGCTATTCAGGTCTCCAATCTCTCGCCAGTCCTCTGGTAACTCTTCTCTCTCACCATCTACCCAGCCTCACGCTCCAACGGTTCAAATGACTTCCAAGTCTCCTTCGGATCCGGTTCCCAAACGTGGCAGTCGTCGGACCAAACCAACTACGGATGATCCCAGCGCGAATCCACCTCACCACGCAGCAGTTATGAGACAGAGACAGGTTTCGTGGCTTAAAGATCTCAACAAGGAGGGTAAAAATTCACTTGAAGGCATCGTTCAATGGTTGGGACTTACTTGGGGCGATCAAGACGGTCCAGAAGATGTGATTTGGATGTGTATGAATGCTTCTGATATGATCTCGACCAATTACTCTGCATACCGAGCAGGCATTCCAAGTAAGAAAGAGTGCTCCGAGAGATGTGCCAAGTATCTCGTGGCGAAGGGTTTTATTGCTCGTACCTGGAAGGGCTGCAAGCAGCAGGTACGGCTTTTGTTAATCTTCTTCTCAAATTTCCCGTTTCTGACAGTCAAATCTTCCCACCTAGATTGAACTTTTCAAAACCAAGTTTCGAACCGCTCAAGGGTGGCGTAAACAGACCAGAGCTGGGATCTTGGCGCAGGCCGAGGATGATATCAATGACTTACAAGCCAATCCTGAAGTAGAGTACGATGATGATACCGGTGATGCCATCAGATCGAAGGCTGCCAGTACAACCAACGGTAAGGTTTTTGTTTATGTGTTTTATGATTCACCTATACTAACGTCTTCTCCTACTCCGTGTCAGAAATGTTGAAACGGTTATGTCGGTTTTACGAAGAGCTTGAACCGCTCATGGGTGACCGTCCTGGAAACGAACCACTAGCTACTGCCGAGGTGTTTCACTCTGCCCAATTGAATCCCACCACAGCCAACGCTCCGAGTGCCCAGCCTACCCCAAACAAAACCGAGTCAACTGACTATTCTCTCACTTTGACCGAGTCCATGGCTTTTGATGAATCTTGGAACGCGACCCCCCCCCATCAGCCGATCGCCCTCTCCTGATCCTTCCTTGCAAACACCTGATCCAGAAGATATTCTGCCACCCATGCTCAAACGCCCATCGAGCATCAGTATTTCCAGTAGTAGCCACACTCGACCGATGCCCCCTGCTGTCTTTAAACAACCTGCTAGCGAGACTCCTCAAAGACCATCTACCTCCAAGAAGAATGATATAACTAAATCAGTCCGATCATCCTTGCCTACCATGTCAGACTTAAAAGAACTTACTGGAGACCGAAAGAAGGACGCCAGTGACCACCAGGATCTGAAAGACCAAATGGCCACCTCGACTCAAGCCTTCATCTCTTTCCTTGGATCTCGATTGGACGGCTTGCCAGCTAGAAATGACAAGCGAGGCAATGATGGCGAACTCTCTCCTGAAGCCGTTGCCAAAAAAAGGGCCTTAGACGAGCAGCTTGTAACCAAGCAGGCTGAGTTGAGCCTGCTCAAGCTTGATCGCGAACTTAAAGCTGAAAGAGCCGCGGTCGAAGCACTCAAACAGGGTCCATCATCGGTTGACAAACTCACTATGGCGCGCGAAAAGATTCAATGGGTGACTCAGCTTATCTTGGCAGGAATGTCTAAAGAAGAGGCGATGAAGCTTGCAGATGAGATGGCCGCTGGCCTTTAATCGCCATTTGTTTGCGCGACTATTACTAAAATTTTCAATATATCTTATAATATAATTATACTCTAATATCAATTTGTGTGCGCAAGTGTTAAACCAGTTGTTTTTGTGCAAGACTTCCAAAATTTGGTTCTAGGCCTGATATCTAAATGTGTGCGCAACTTATGTGTGATTCTTTGTTTGTCTGCTGGTCGTAAGAAATACAAGGAGTGCTTCCAAATAATTTGCTGAGAACTATTGATGAACACCAAGTGCCAACCAAGTAATTGAAATACTCGGAGCAGATCTTTATCAAGATTTTAGACTTGAAAAGTTTTTCCAAGTCATCAAAATAACTTGGATCAGATCTTTATCAAGTTTTGAGGCTTGGTAGAGATCTGATCGTCTCGGCAAGTTCAAATCTCAGAAGAGAATCACCAACTTTCTTTTTTCGAAAACTCGGCAAATTCAAATCTCTGAAAAAAATCTTTCGAATACTCGGCAAATTCAAATCTCTGAAGAAAATCACCAACTTTTTTTTTATTTCAATTTACCAAACAACATCAAATAAATTCATATCAAAAAACTTTTACTGATTTTTTTAATAGCTACCTAAATAACAATGAAACACTTGCTTGCACTAAATTTTTTAATTTGATTATAACTGAACCACAAAATCGATCAAAACTTTGGTTACAAAAAGATAAGATTGCTTTTACCCTTGCGAATTATTGCGCGACTGCCATCTTCTGAACTCATGCAATAATTCGTTTCTTCTTGCATAAGATGCATTATGATCATAATTGACAGGTAGATCATCTTGAGGTGGGTCATCATCATTAATATCAGCAGGCTGTTCCGGTTTCCAGCTGTCCCTATTCTTCAGCGTGAAGTTATGCAGGAGACACGCGACACGAATCCAGTTGACAGCATGCGTAGCGGTTCGTGCATCCTTTAAGATGAGTCGCATGTCCCGTAGAGATTGGAATCACAATTTGAGCATGCCATTGCCGTGTTCACTGACCACGCGTTGCTCACTGAGTGCGGTGTTGAATTCCTTTTTCAATAGATCTAATCCATAGGTACGGGGGCTTTTGAATGTTGGAATAACGTTCTGGGTACATGTGTAACCCGAATCGGCTAACAGGTACTCGCCCTCGGAGAAAAATTGATCGGGTTGTTGAGCAATCTGACATAACAAATCAATAACCAATCAGTAAGATTCTTGCTGGATATGCGAAACACCTGTTTTACTTACCTGAGTTGATGAAAAAACACGCTGGTCATGTGAACTGCCACACCAACCGTGCAACGCATAGATGATACGAGCATTGTGATCACAAACGAGCATCAAATTGAGTGCGTACATGAATTTGCGAGTCCAGAAGTCCTCTGGATTTTTGAGAGGAGCCACGGCCAGAGGAATGAGTGTTCCGTCTATGAATCCAACGCAATCTTTAAAAAAGGACCTTGCACCAATTTCTTTCTTGATAATCGTTCGTTCTTCTGCGTCAGGCCAGTAGACGTACTGGCTTTCCAATTTCAAAAGGGCCTCGAAACATCTTGATGTAAAATTATGTACACTGCCCTCTGAAACATCAGGACATCAGATATTGTACCAGAAGAGAACCCAATTTAATTCACCTACTCACCACTTAGCCCAAACATCTGTCCGATCATGTAAGCACTACCACCATTCCCACTTAATCCTAGCTGGCATAATGTCACAAGCAGTTGCCACTCAACCGGTAATTGAGGCCGCGATGAGCCGTTATGAAACACGAGGTCTTCACTAATCAAAGGTACAAGGCAAAAAAAAATTTCTTTCGACATTCGAGCCTATGGTAGGTAGCAATGATGTTGAATGATCAGTGAGTGACACATATCAATCAAACTGGTAAGAACCTTCAAACACTTACATATTTCATAAAATTCCTATCGCTTCCATTGAAGACCGCAGTGAAACGTATTTGTTGCAGGTCCTTCCTGTTTTCATAGAGTCAATCTTCAAAGTAACGTATTCTATCAGTCTGTTCGAGGGCTTCTCCAAGTATCACACCAATCCGGAAACAGTGTTCACGTAAGGCCACTTGATTCGATTCGGCCTCTTGAAGGTTCAAGCATCCATTCAGGTAAGTTTTGAGTGCTCCGACTAAGGTGATCATTGAGATAGTGACTGATTCTTGAGAGTTTTCAAGCAGTAATAAGGTGCCAGATTTCATCAATTCAAAGTGAAGAAACGCTTGTAGAGGTAAGTACAAAGGCGACTGGTATGTGAGATTGATGACCGATAAGAGATGAAGCGATGATTTCACGAGATCGGATATCAGCTGGGCTCGGGTGCCTACACGAGGCATGTTGTTGAGGAGTGGTAGATGGCGAAGGGCTCCTCAAAACGAGAAACCAGGTGGGAAAATCCTAGTTTCTCTTGTCCCCGCAAAAATGAAATGTATGTAAGTAGGTTTCGGACAAAGGTAGCTCGGACCTGGTTGTTTTGAGTACCGTAAGTCAGTAGATTTGTCTTAGTACAGAGTTTTGCATGTGAAAGGGTTTATGATTGAGGGGATCAGAAGCCAAGGACCAGTTCTTTTGAAGTGACTTGGATTGAAGCAAGGATTGTATTGATCTTGATTCCACTCAATGACTCAGGTGACTGGATATTTTGGAAGCAATGATTTATTGAACTTGTGACTCTATTCCTGAATATTGTATATACTGATTCTGTTTTCTAGGCATGATGATTAACTTGCTTGATAATTAGATGACTATAATTGAGTATGTGTGTTAAATCTTGTTTTACATTCCAAGTGTGATGGTGTGATGAATGCCAATGTTTTGATTGATATGATGAGTGGGTTGTTTGATGATGATGATGAATATAATGAAATTGAATTGGAATTTGAAATGTATGAAGTTGAAGTTGAAGTTGGTTGATACAATCAAATAGACTTTAACCGTATCAGTCTTTTTCTGAGACTAACTCGCTCTGAGACTATCCTGAGACAAACAAAAAAGTAAACCGGATGGTGGCTTTTTGTACACTGTCTGTACAGGCTGGTGGCAACTGGTACATATGTATGAAGACTTGAACAAATTCATCATTAAGACTTCAAAGAAGCTGTTAACACTTCGATAACCTCATCAAGAATCAAGAACCTTTGTCGAGTCATCCATGTGCACCTTATATCTATACCTTCAGACTCACTCCAATCCCCCTGAAACATTGTCAAGGGGGTTCTATCGCTACAACCACTTACATATCAAAGTATTGATAATGAAGCAACTTACAAAACAACAAAATGTTATTGGAACAAGCTACTTTGAATGAAAGTAGCAAGCAAAACCAATACAAGAAAAACAATGCATTGTCATCGGAGCGAGATACTTTGATGTAAGAGGTTTCTATCTGTTGCGTTGTCTTGATTTCTTCAAAAACGACTCAGTCGCCATCTTTTCAAACTGTCTCTTTGTATGTATAATCTTCACGAAAAGGACTCGATATCACTTCTTTTCAACCAACCTAAAATGCTTCCAACTTCTGCTTTTCAAGACATCTCATTTTGCATTTTATCAACTCGATCGTCTTTTGTATGTATTATTTTTGACCAATGAAATTGACCAATGGATGTCTAGATGTTCTGTAGTTGGTGGAAGGCTTATAAAGAGAAGGAAGCGCCATGCGAAAAAAAACGCGCCACACAGACCGGGATTGAACTATACCTGTATGTCTCACTGCTTCTCTCAGGTAGTCTCAGAGAAAGACTGATACCGCATCTCTCCCCAATCAAATAGACTTTAACCAATCCTTCCTAAAGATGACCTTCAGTTCTTCTTCAGCTTCATCTTCAAGTCTTCATGATCCTTGGACTAACTCAACTTCTCATGGCAATTCTAATCAAACTAACACTACCACTACCACCAATCAATCACTTCAGCTCAGCAATCCAATCTCATTCAATTCATTGGAAACGGATCATCGTCATTCAATCAGACTACCAACCCCTAACTCAGCCACTACTACCATTCAGTCTACTTCAACTCAATCAAACTCAACCTCTCATCCACTCACACTTAACATTAGCAACAATTCATCTTCTTCTTCAGCATCTTCTTCTTCAATTCAAACTAATCTGATCCATCAACTTCCTTACGAAGATTCGATCACCAAGAATCTACAACCATCATCACCAGATCTTATGGATGCAACTCGACCTACTCTTAAAAGATTAACTAGAACCGATCAATCATCAAACCCTTCACAATCTCAACCATCTCGAAATGCTACTGGAATGTGGTTTGGATCATTCAAAGACCGTTCAACTAGTAACCTTCATCCTCGAACTCGTCATTCAACTCATCGTGCCAGCTCTTCGCAATCTAAACCTTCTAATGACTTACTTGATTTGGATGAACCTCAACTCATTCAACATTCAGATCAACTTGATAAAGGTAAAGGTAAAGCAACACCATTGGCAGACAATCTTAATCGGATAAAAGGTGCCAAGGATGTCTTGATTCATTCAGTTGAAAAACACGATACAATCGCTGGGATTGCACTCAGTTATGGGATCTCTGTCAGTACCTATCGCTAATCTATCTAATTTCATCACCAGTGACCATATCATGACTAATCATCTTATATGGCTTTTGTCTGAGTAGCTGTCTGCTCTAAGGAAAGCAAACGGGATGTGGGCCTCAGATCCATTAAGCTTAAAGGACACTCTCAGAATACCTCTCGAGTTATGTAACTTACCACCTTCCAAGAAGATAGAAATTGAAGAAGATAGTGGAAAAGTTTTAATTTGGGAACAATCACCTTCTTCAAGTCGTTCATCATCTCCAAGATTAATGCATCATCGAAAATCAAATTCACAAGTTGGAACCAATTCTTGGATCAATCAATCCGGAATCACATCTAATCCATCACGACAAGTTAGTTCTAATCAATGGTTTTTCAATCATCAACAACAGAATGGTAGTCGGATCAGTTTAGAAATGAGTGCAAGTGTTGGAACGAGTAGTGAAGCAGGTTTAAGTCCTAACCGAACAAGTTTTGATAAACTTTCGGCTTTTGGTAAACCGACCAACTCTTTAGAAAATCAAGATGAAGTGTCAAATTATTTGACTGGGACCAATTTTGCTTATCCGATTTCTGAATTACCTTCACCTCCTCCTCCGTTAGATGAAGGTATTCCACATGCAAGAAACCCAGGAGTGCTGACTTCGATTTCTAATACTATCTCACCTCCTTCTCAATCTGGCTCACATATTAGTAATGGTCAACCTAAAGTAATAGCCACTTTAGAACGAGTACCAGCTCATGAGCTAGGTTTCTTTACATCTAATGCCAATTCACCTAACCCACGTAAATCATATGACCCATCTGGATCATCTGAACAAGATTCAACGACCCTTCTTTCAAATCAACCTCTCAATAACCTCGCTCTGAACCTGACCCCTAATCTTCCAGCTCACTCTACCCTTCGTCAACGATCTGCAACGACGAACAATCGATCAGCTCAAGTTCCTAATCATCTTTCATCACCTGCTCGTCATAACACCACACCTGATCCTATGATTCGACCTACCACCACACATCGGACCAGTTCGAATACACTAACTCAGATCCATAATTCACCTCGTAAACAAGTTGGTAGACTTCAATTGGATTACGAAACATCTTCTATCGATCCATCCCAAATCTCACCTGGTCTGGAAAAGAAAAGAGCAGCGGCTCAATTGTTTCAAGTGAGAGGAGCACTTCCAAGTGTTTCTAATCGAGGAGGACTCACTGGAATCGATGGTGCTTATCCTCAAGCTGAATCTCATCCAAGAAGTAAGTCACTAGATGTCTCTTGATGACCTTTCTTATGAGGATGACTGATTCTGTTCGGTTCCGTAACAGACAGATCATCGAATGAGAGTAATGGATATCCCAACGTTTCTGGAGCCCACAATCTAGCCAGTTCATCAAAATGGACAACAGTCAGACCAGGAGTACCACCACCATTAGACAAAAGATTAAAATTTTTAGAAGAAGGAACGAGCACGAAGTTTGGAACGATCTTGAATGGATTCTTGAACCTTGAACCACTTGTTTCTTCTTCTTCATCATCATCTGTTTCAAATCATCAATCAAAACCAAATCATAAAGAAAGATTAGAATTAAATGAAATCTTGTGGTCTGAAAGTGATGAACCTATTACTCTTCAAAGTAATAGTCAAAATCATCAAAGAAATAAAGGTTTGAAAAAGTCAAAGAGTGGATTGGGGTGGGGGTTTTGGAATGATTTATTGGATGAAGCTTCACAAGCTAGTAGGAAATGAAAAAAAAAGTTAAATTATCAAGATAAAAAGGAAAATAAATCAGATGGTTTGGGATCTTTTAAGAATGATGGATTGGATTTTGGGATTTAGGTTTATGGAACTGTTAAGAAAACTTTTTTTCTTTTTGGAAATTTGTTTATATTTGTAATTATTATTTCTTTCTTTTACATAAAAAAATCAATTTTGTATTTGATCATCATCATAACATGTTTTTGAGTTTCTTTATTTTACCTTTTTTATAAAATCACTTTCTAGGCATATTTTTTTTGGATTTTTTTTTTGGATTTTTAGAAAATTGGAATAATAAAAAAATATTTTTTATATTCTTTTTGAAAAAAAGGGTTTTTTTGAAGTTGAATAGATTTTTTTTTGTAAGGAAGAGAAAAAAAAAGCATTTGTAAGGATGAATGACTAAATCAATTGATCATCTTCAATTTATCTTGTATTTATATTGTTTTTGGTGTTAAATAATAATTCATTTTTTTTTTCTTTTTTATTTAGAGATAAAAATAATATAACGGTTTATTGGTTTTTTTTGTGACATTTCTTGAATTTATAGTAAATTGATAAGAATTCTTTGATTTTAGAAATTGAGTTGTTTTTTTTCTGAGTCAAGTTTTCTTCTACATACTCTATGTTCTTTGGATTTTTATCTTTGTGTGTAAGTAAAAAAGTTGAAAAGTATATACAGTATATTTCAAGCTTGGATGAAACTCTAGTGAAGTTATAGTGTTGTGGACAAATAGATTCTCAAACAAATACTATCATGATTGGTTTGTAGATCTTTCCCATTCCTAAAAAATGGTTTTCCACATGAGTTTCCCTAAAGCCTGACTTACCCCAGAGTGTTAACTTCTATGATTGAAAGTCCTAATATTGATGGTGCTAAGGGATGTGTTCTGTGATCATGTTCCTCTTATCTGATTGGGGGATACTAATGGTAAAACTTGCTTGGTAATTTTCTTACAAGGTGACATGCATTCTCTGCCACATCTTATATGTTGAACCTTTGTTAGTTCCAGTCACACTTGAGGCTTGAGTACTTCATGTATTCTCATGGTGGTTGAAATAACTTTACTCTTCTGGCATCTGAATTTTACTTATTGTTTTGCACAAACATCGAGTTTATTCTTAACTTGGTCCTTGAATTCACTCAATGGGATTTTTGATATGAAGCAAAGATTTACTACCCTGTGAGTGCATTTGAATGTTACTTATTGATTTGCACAAACCTTCATTGTTTTTTCTTAACTTGGTCCTTGAATTCACTCAATGGGATTTTTGATATGAAGCAAACATTTACTACCCTGTGAGTATATCAGACTTTGGCCATTGGGCTATTGGGTAATTTGTGCAGAGCCCACTCAAGGAAATAAACCAAGATGATGACTCAAAAACAAGTGGCCTTGCAAAGATGATTCTATATATTTGAACGTATATATGTATAATGTCAATCCAAACATGCTATGTACATTTAATCCAAAAAAAAGGTTGAAAGACTGAATTGCAAACGGAAAATGTTGTTACATTTTTTTGATATAAGATCAGAGATGGGAAAAACAAGACTGACAAGTTTTTTTTGATGATATGAAAAATCTCAACTTTTTTTAACAAAAAAAGGTTATGTCTACAAGATTGAATAAAATGAGAGATACAGAATATAAGAAGAAAAATCAAGCAAATATAAAGAAATTCTTAAAAAGAATCTTTTCTCAAATCAAAAACTTTTATCGTCTAAACCAACTCCAGGATGGCTTCGAACTATGATAGGGTGGAAGAATATTAGCGTTTATTGACAAGATTCTTACACCAATCGTCCCGAAAGCTGTGTTGGAATAAGCTTACGCCATACTAGCTACTACAACCGCCGCGGCCAAGGCGAATAACACGCTAGGTAAGACTTTACTCATGTCGAATAGGCCACTTGTAGGCACTTCAGCAGCGACGATGTCGTCTACCACTCGGCGACGCTTGACAGATGGGGAAGACTTTCGGACTTGGCGTTTTGATCTTAGTGCCGAACGATGAGCGGAACGGACGTGAAAAAGTCCAACTGATTCCGAAGACCTGAGGTGCTTGTGGACACCGTGGTGGGTCAGAATGCCGGAAGAGCGATGGCGTACAGCCATTTGAGAGGAAGAAGCTGGCGGTTGACTTGGATCACGTTCACGTCGTCTGAAGCACGTTGAAACAGAAAGTCAGTTCTAATCTGCATTCAGGTTGATCCTTGGAGAGGCACCTGAAGAATAACAAGAAGGTACTTACATTAATCTTCCGTGGAAAGCCACAACTGTGTGACGCTGTATATGATAAGGAGGAATGTGTCAGTGAAAAGAGGCTAAATGATAAGTTGGACTTGACTGACGTTAGCATGGCGATTTGATGATTTTGAAACCGACTTGTGATAATCACGGTTTGTAGAAGGAAGTTTGACTGATTCTGACGATGATCTGCCATTGAACTGATCAAGCCCAGTCGCCAGAAAATTCGGTACATCATATGATCGGATATCCGTATCACTGCAAGACTTGCTCAAAGCGGTAGGATGAATAGGTTCAAATATTGAAGAACTGGACGTATCACGGGGAAAATCACTGGTGAAATTGCTGGGGCTTCGACTCGAGGCAAAGATTGGACGATGACGAGTGCCTATGTTGGGATAACAAATTGATTCATCAACGAGCTGACTCCAATCAGCACCCGTGAAGTCTTCCAGGTTGGATGGTACCCTCCGTATTGAGTCTGTTTCGTTGTATGAAGACTTGCGTACCACCGATCCTGGAACATTGCTAGCATTTCCTGCAGTGGTCACAGCCTCAGGTTCGGATGAGCGAATGAAAGTGAACCCAGTATCTTCGTCCAAGTCTAGAGTAGAGGGACGAGGGCTTATAGGAGCTTGGGCCTGAATACTATGTGGGAAGATCGACGTGTTCGCAGAACCACCGGTAAGGGGAGCCCCTCGCATATCTTCGCGTTGAAAAGGGGACAGTAGTGATACGTTGGATGGCGGACCTTGCCCTGGTATGATTGCTAAGAAAGTCGTAGGATCTGGCGGAGGCCTAGCGAGTATGGCAGCCGCCTGGGGCAAAGAGCCAAAGGTCGGAATGGCGGCATGGCTTGGTTCAAGAGCTGACATCCTGTTTTTTTTCTTGGACTGATGTGAAATAGATTTTGCAAGTGGTAAGCTTTCGGGGCGGGATCGAGCAATGTGAGATTCGGACTTGGTTCGCGTTCTTAAGGCAGAGGAAGTGTTGGTTTCCGAAGGCAAATTGGATTGCAATGCGTTGGATGCCTGTGGGGCGACTGATTGCACAGTGCTTGATGTCGAAAGGGCTTGAGATGAGGGCCTGGCAACGTTTAATTGATCGGCAGAATGAGGTTTGCGCTCATTACGCAGAATGAGAGGGCGATCAAGCTGATGGAGTGACTTTTTGACAGAGCGAGCGACACTGCGAATGCCTTTGGATATGGTTCCTTGGGATGAATGAGTGGAATCCACATCTCGTTGTGTCGAGGGGTTTGACGCAGAACGAACTTCGGGAGTGGAGGCCGGTATTCCGCTTGGCTTTGAGGTGGGGCCGAGGGATTTGAAACGTTGGAAAGGCGAATTGATGCTCAAGGTACGTCTAGCTCTTTGAGAGACCGAAAGTGGTCTTGCGTTCTCCGGGGTATGTTCAGGGTTGGTTTCAGACTGACGAGAGGTGCTTGAAAACGGTCGCAAAAGGGATTTTTTCTTCTTCTCGACAGACTTTGCAGAGCTGGGGGATGTATCAGGAGTGGCGTGAGGGGATGGCGATGGATATATAGATGACGGAGGTGTTGTCACTGACTGATCCGATCCTGATGTTGAATACGCTCTAGCTTCACTAGCGGCAGAGCCGGCGGGGAAGGTGACTGACGGGAGGTTTTGAGAAGCTTGCGACGCTCTAGGCGGCGCAATTTGGGGGTGAGACGCAGTGGAGGCCATGAGTCTTCGAAGTGATTGGGTCTGCTGTGGTGGAGCGATGAGTCGATTATGTTGGTAACTGACGGTGTAGCTAGACTTTTAATCGCCAAGCAACTGATGAGATTAAAGGTTGTGAGAACAGGCTTCCGACAGGAGCTCCAGGCCGCAAGGGTTATTCTCGATATTCCCGGCCGTGATAAGTCCGCGGAAAATTCAATGAATTATTCGATATCTCGTGATAAGTTTAGAGCGCAAGAGAGCACGACAATAACTTGAGAGATTACTTTTCTTGAGGTAATGAAGTGTGCAGTCGGTGAGGCGAATGCGAAGAACTTGAAGGAAAGTCGAGAAATTTTTAATGAAAATATTCTGGTAACTAGACGTGCGCCAGGATGTACTTTATCTTCTGGGTGAATGATCGCTTTGGTTATGTGTTGGGTAGCCTGCCTGTACGGGAAAAGGGGCGAGGCAAGACCTAAATGGAAGAGCCAGGCTGGTCAAGCTCGTTGAACAATTTTCCCCGGATGATAGTGACCGAAGAACCCAACGCTGTAGCCAAGAATCAAGACAAATCTGAGGAAACGATGGGTTGTAGTCGAAGCTCGTGAAACTAGGATATGCCGTTCAGTGCAAGAAATTCTTCACCACTTGGAGTAGACGACCGGGGCTTTTGATGACGCAAGGAATGCAGTGGTCCAATTCGCTGAACGTCTCGGGGAGAGAAACGAAGTTATCCAATCTTGCGTATGTGCGTGATACAGGTTCCTTGACGCCACAATACCGAAGCCGAGACGCGAGGTCTCCGCCACTCGTTTTGAGTTTTCAGTTTTGAGTTCTCAGTTTTCAGCTTTTTGATTTTCGACCCCGTTTTCGATTCCGACCTCGCTGCAGAACCTTTCACAACCCAGAACGCATCACACCAATGACCACAGCACTCTTGCAACCATGTGAAGACACATGTATCACACTCTCCATCTAAATCGAGCGAATCCTTTGGTCAAAAAGTTTTATTTTCATCTTCATTTGATTGGTTCTTCCTCTGTATTTGTCTACATTCTATATATTACTTTTGCTAAAAAGCTTGGCCCGATTGAGAAAAAATAAAAACAAATTTCACCGCAGCAGTCACAACGCAGCAGAGAGAAAAAAGTTTTAGGGTGCACTTGAGCTCTCATCCGTTTCTTCCTTTTAATTACCCCACTGCCACCAATAATTTTTCGTATTCTTCAAATCCCTGTCGATGACTTTGTTTTGCTCACTAAACTCAACCAACGCCTCATCCATTGTGGGAAAATGATTGCTGATCTCTGTAAGCAAAAAGATAAACTTGATTGCTTCAATTCGACCCATTCCTCTCTCCAGTGCATTTCATTCAACTTACTGATAATCCCTAATATCATCTCTAGGTATCCTTCTCCAATACCTACCACCAAACCGTCCCGAGCTGAACCCTATCGAATTTGAAGTATGCATTGAAGTTTGATGTCCGGAGATCACACATTTCATTGTCTAGGTCAAAATTCAAATCCAGTTGAACGGATCCGGAAGGCAGCTCATAAGCCCTTACAGCTGAATTAACGAGCTAGATTGTCTATAATAGATGAATTGTACTTAGAGAAGATTGTCATTGTATAGGAATTAGAATCAAGGGATTCTAGATAAGATTGATGTGAAAATTGAGATCGTTTCAATTGTTTTCATAAGATCACGAGCAAATCAATCGGCTTTGATCTTGTTAAAAAAACAGTCTCTAGATTACATCAGGAGCTGAGATATTTGTTCCCAATCTCTTCCATAGACACACAGGAAGGTCGATTGGTTTTGATCGAGCAAAACCAGTCAATCTTTGGATTTTGAATGTCTTCGAGAAATCTGAGATCGTTTTTCATCTTGTTCATAGGACCATAGACAAATTGAATGGGTTTGGATGACACAAGCTCGATCTTGTTCATAAGAGCATCATAGACAATTTCTGTGGGTTTGGATGACTTCAAACCCATTGATCTACGTTTTATCGTCCTCATAAGAGAGTTGAGATCGTTCTCAACTCGCGATCATAGGATTTTCTCATGAGTCATAGGAGAATCAATTGGGAATTGGCTGGTTTTGATATTCTTCATAACTAATCAATGATATTGATGATCTCAATCACCTTGAAAGCTGACGCACATTTTGAATATCTGATATGTAAGATACATCTCATTCAACCTGCCCTTTTTCTCAGATTAGCACAGTAGTTAGCTCCATAAAAGCTTTATCATTCCTTAATTTCATTTGTTAACAAACGCTCGTTATCAACATCGGAGGAACAGTGTAAAAACTTTAACACAACGTATGATCCGTTTGACCGGATTTGACCTAGTGAATAAAACTTGTGATCTCCATACATCAAACTTTGACACCTTGAATCCAAACTTGAGTGTTCAACTCGGGACACTATGGTGGTGGGTATTGGAGAAGGATACCCAGAGAAGATATTTGGGATTATCAGTAAGTCGAATGAAATGCTCTGAAGAGAGAAATGGGAGGAATTGTAGTGATAAAGTGTAACTTTTTTCTTACAGAGATTGGAAATCCATTGTCCGCCATGAATAGACACGTTTCCAAGGTGCGAGAAGCAGCGAGGGCCGTAGTTGAGTGTAATGACAAAAACAAAGTGACTGATGGGGATTTGGAGAGTATGAATTTTTTTTTGGTGGCAGCAGGGGAATAAAACGGATGGAATGGAAGGGACCTTGCACCACAGCCCACAGCACCCCCAAAATTTTTCTCTCTGCTGCGTTGTGACGACTGCGGCGAAATTCTGGGTCTACTTCTGTTTTATTTTTTCTCAATCGGGCCATGCTTTTTAGCAAAAAATGCAGTACACTTTTGCAGTACATTACACTTTGTCACCGCTCCCAAACGGGGCCTAAGCAGTTATGAACAGGAAAGTCGTGCATTTCGTTTCATTTCATTTCAGATTACATCACATCACATTTACATATACAAGTACACACCACTCACGCATAGGTGAGTTGGCCCAAGACGATTGCTGAATACTGATCACCACCTCACCGACATTCTAGCCACCAATTCCACATACTGACCATATGACACAACAACCGAAGCGACATTACAGAATTAAAACGAATCTAACAACCTGGAGTCGAGTGGACAAAATCGTATCAAGAAACCTGGTCGAGAAGCCGATGAAGCAAAGTTTCTCAAAGAAGTAGACGCCGGGAGACGATTTGTTTCCAATCACACTCCGAGTAATAATTCAAGCAAGGAAAATCTCAAGATTCACTTCAAGAATCATCAAGATTTAAAAGATCAACTTAATCATGAGTAGGATGATGTTGATTATGGTGAATCTATTCAGCTTCCCGTAGTGGTAGGGAAGGGGTCTAAATGAAGACATTATTCTTTTAGTTGAATTTTGTTCTTGAGTTACATTTAATTGACTTGTTGATTTTCCTACTCTTGTTGAAGGTTGTCAAGTCATTTGAGCTGTGGAAAAGAATCAAAAGTACCAATATCATCTTGAACTCTGAAATAGAGCGATCTTATATCATCACCAACTGGGTTTTTGAGTTTGATCAATTTGTTGGAATTTCATGAACAAATGATCATTAGCCAATTATTCACGGCCAAATCTAACAAACTTTTTAGTTCAAACAACTGAAAATTGAATCATAGCAAACTGATCTCTAAAAAATTTCGATTCTTTGTTTGAATACAAAAGATGATCCACTAATTTAGCAGGTTCCAGTGACGCTCTAAAATCAAAAGTATGCTTTGATTATTTATGTTAAGTCTAAGGCATTGAAGCTCTGTAAAAAGCAGACGAAATCAAACCTGATGCAATTATAAGTTGATGATCTGGATTCAATTATAATTTTTGTTGAATCGAATCGAGTGATTAAAACATAAACTCCAGGCATCTACCTCATGACATCATATAAGTAAGCTAGTTCAAGAGGTCAGTGGTGTTGGATTTTTGGATTAGCCCATCAATAAAGTACAAATAAGGGGTGTCAAGTTCAACTTTTTTACGGTAAAAACCGTAAAAAACTTTCCCGTCGTAGCACAAATTTACGCAAAATTTACGAGAACGGGAAAGTTTTATCTATCCCGTTCTTGCATAAACGTAAACAGATAAGTTTACAACATAGCTTTGAAGACTTAAATTTGACCGTTTCACTCTTGGAAAGAGGTGTGCTTGATAGTGGATGCAAGGACAACCTTGCATCCTCTTACCAGCAGTTTTGTCATTACCGTGTGGAAGATCGAGGCGAAAACGTAAAAAAGCCTTGCTCGTGGTTTACAAGCGATGATAAAAACTCGGGAAACTTTTTTTACAGTTAAAACATAAAAACTTTCCCGTCTCATAGTTTTTTTGCTGTAAAAATTTGAACTTGATACCCCTTAATGATTATGCAATTCACAAACATAAGATTGAATCGGATGCATTAAAATAAAGCATTTGTTTGCTTGATCAATTGAATCATTCCAAAATTTACTTCATCCTTCGAGTTTTTTGAACAAAAGTTCAAGAAAAATCAAATGCATGTTCTAACTGAAATGTCCGGTTCTTCAAAATCACAACAGGAATCCTTTCAGAAGGTTGAGTTCGCTTTGTGGATTGATATCCTTAGGGCTGAGGTTAGTTTTGATCAACCCCATAAAGTGGGCCAAGTGTCATCAAATTTTCTCGTATGGAAGAACAGAAATTTCTCGCCAATTTTATACACCTGTGGTATCTTTTGGCCACCTGTGAAGGAATTTATGAGTAATTTCGAATCTGAGCGGTAAATAGGTGTGCAGGAGATTATGTGTGGGTGTTTGGCCCTATAAAATTGGGTCAAGTGATACCATTTGTTGTGATATGGAAGCCTAAAGACTTCTTATCAGTTTGATACACCTATGAACTATTTTGGACACCTATGGAGGAAGTGATGGGTAAGTTTGAATTTGAGCAGTAAAAAGCTTTGTGGGAAGATTGTGTGTGGGTATACATGGTCTGATGGGTGGGAGAA